GTAGATACGAAAGATGTGTTTTGAAGTGTGTTAGTGTGAGAGAGTGTTATAGAGGTACAACTGGACACAATAAGTCCCAAGCCCTTTTGAATCCTTGACCACCTGTAACTAAATCAGTTTCAGATGTTTCAAAAACTTAGCCTAATGTTGGTACCAAGTCTTCCTGGCGTCCTATTCACCTGACACATACTAGTAAAGTACATTATCTCTTCTCGGGATCAACTCTAATATTATCCAATTAAAGAAATAGCAAACCTTCACACACACACATAGACACAAAGTTTTATCTTTAGTAACGAATTAATTATTATTGACTTTTTGCCGAGCCTACCTAGCCACGCTGGACGCTGAGACACGCTCTGACACGCTCTGAAACCTCTATGCATACATAAATACACACAAACACATACACGAGCTATTCCAAATGGCTGGCAACGCAACTGGGGAAAACATTTTCTTTCGGTTGCCTAGGCAACAGGTGTCAACACCACCGGAATCACTGGGGTGGGTGCGCGCGGGCTGGGCGATACTGGACGATACTCAAGATTATACTTTATCGATCTGACCCCGGGTCTACTCGGCCCAACACACAGACAAAACGTTTATATTTTAATTATGTTTGTTTATATTGCGGACGATACCCGGCCGGGCGTCCAGGGACAGCAACTCGTATTGCGCGGCATTTTTTGTTTGTTTGTTTTGTTTTGCAAATGAAAATGAAAAGAGTCGATGTTGGCAGAAACCGAAACAAAAAATATTTCCATGACTCATTATAGTTTTGTGGATTTTGAATAAACACATTGAGGAGTTAGTCTAGAGAGAGTTTAATTACACCAGGAAGCCGTGTAAGAAATAGTCTTCGAATTATTTTTTTTTTCAAACTTTATCAGAAGTTACTAATTCGGTGAATCCGCATATGCCTGTATGATGTCATTTTGTCTCTTGCGTTTTGCGAAGTTTGGTCCTAAATATGCGAAACTGCTTTTAGGAACAGATGGTTGGCAAAAACTTGTATACAAATATGAATTCTATCTCTACAAGCCTTAAGGCGGGATGACACTGAGAGAAACGAGTTATCTACCTTGTTAGGTTAATGGTGATTAGGGTTAATGTTCAGTCAGTGCAAACATTGCCAGTTTAAATTTCAGAACGACTGAAGATTAATTAACACAATTTCCTTTGGTTGATATAAACATATCTAATATATAAAGCAAAAAGTAAGGCGTGTGTATGTATGTCCCAAATAGAAATCCAAGCCGTTTGACCAATATTGATTATAAATTATGCATGAATGTCCCTTAGATCACGCTGGAAACCGTAGTGTATGTTAAATGTCCTTCTTACAACAAAAAGGACCTAAAAATAAAATACCCAAATGTATCTCTATTGAACCAATGAATGTGTCGGTAAACACCATTTTCATAGACTACTTTTATTTTCCTGCTAAAATTTATAAAGCTAAGGGAATATCTCGTCATGTTTGACATATAATGCACAAGATCAGCGATACACAAACTAAGGCCGCTAGTTATATATATATATATATATATATATATATATATATATATGTATATATATATATGAATAGAGAGAGAGAGAGAGATCTTAATAGAAATTACCTTTATAAGTACAGAAAATATAACATTAAAACTGTGGACGAAGCTGACTTGTCACATTATCTATAATATATCACACTTCTCTTCTAACGCAATTCTATTTTAGATTTTCTCTCCAAATTTTACGCGGAACGATCTGAGTTTGACTCTCATGTTAACGACACCAACAGACTCTTCACTCAAATACATGTATATTGAAACGCCCCTGGAGTGCTAAACTGTACACTTGTCCCTCATTGACTCCAAGACGCGACCCCATCTAAGAGAATGACGAAGCGCCTCTGAGAAGATGTGAATGCACGCCAGCGTGCAGTGCTCTTCCCCCCCCCCCCCCACCCCGATCCACGGCGTTTTTTTATTCCACCCAACGTCAAGGCGCACGACATCCCCGCATCACGTCTGCGAAGGCCAGAGCTCATCAGACGATAATTTGACCCGTTCATTGATGTTCTAGGTCAAATGTACTGCACTTGTTTCTGCTGTGTCTTGTTTTGTATTTACTCTGGATATACTAGTTGCATAGGAGGAAGTGTGATTTCTATGTGTGATCTTTAAAGTGTGATTAAGAAGTGTAATATATAAGTGTTATATACTAGTGTGATTTAAACTGGGAATTTGTTTTTTTACAAGACGTCCTCTTTAAAAGGCTCTTTACGGAATACTTACACTAGTTTGGTAAGTCAACAGATTTTATATTTCTTTATTATCCATTTTAATTGGCATCTTATGCCATTTAATAAGGGGAGCAAAGTGCATATGTAAATTTTCGAGGTTCTCTTTTCTTCCTCTTTAATACTTTTGTAACTGACTTGTGGTTTTTAATGACAGACTATTACAAGTACGAATGCCTTGAAATGTGGTGTCGCAGACAGTGGTTAGGTTGGTGGAAATTTATCCACATTTTGTCGGTTGTTCCATGTAAAAAGCAATATTTTAACCTTTTTTTTTTAAAAGAAAATTATAGTGAGGGCTCCCTGAATTGGATACCACTGCACGGGTTATCTCATATATTGGTTTAGACATAATGAATGCTCCATTTATTGGGAGAATACCTTCAAAAAAAGAAGGTCGATATTTTACAAATCAATAAAACCTTCTTACACAACAGCCTTGCAATGCAACTGAGATGTATACTCTGTCAATTTATGATGCATTATATAGTTAAGTCAATGACCGCATCGTGTCGTTATTAAGCTGTCATTACGTAGTCTATGTAGTCATTGTGGTTGTTTTTGTTTTTGTACCTTTATGGATTTAAAATAGTTTATCGCTAAAAAATAAGTAGATTGACTTGTTTAAATTAATCCTTTTGCCTCTGTGTGAAGCAAAGCGTCGGATCATTTACTACGCCATTGGACGAAGGTCTGGGCAATTCCCATTAGTTGGGTCATTGTCCATCAAAGTATCAAAGTGATTAAAGGAGAGTACAAATAATCATATACTTCCGTCTTTCAACATAATATATAAATATACAGAGCGAGAGAGAGAGACAGTAAAAAAGAGAAAGAGAGAGAGAGAGAAAAATATAATTCAAGGCTTTTATTCAATAAATCGCATATTCACTACAGTTTGGAACAAAAAGTTTATTTTATATATGCTACCCTGGAATCGACCATATTAAAAAAATCTTTTTTGACTAAACCTAGAGGTGTAGATTTTATTATTATTATTTTGCTTCATTCTATTGTTAAAATGTCTTCAACTTCACCTTTACTTACACTGATGGACCATAGGTGCACCACACAAGATTTGTCAAACGTCTTTCTCCATTCCTCTCTGTCTTTTGTCTTGGATAGAACCTCTTTCAATGGCAGGCCCGTCCATTCTTTTATGTTGCCTTCCCATCGCTTTTTCTGTCTCATTTTCTTCTTTATCCTGGTACTGTTCCCTGAAGGAAGGTCTTTGCAAACCCCAAAGGCCTTGTAATATTGACATAGAGTTTTAGTTTTCGTTTTTTTACAATAGTTAGCAGGTCATCGTGGGGTCCAATGGATGCAGTAACTGTCTCTAATCTCTTCGTTTGTGATGCTTTAAATGTCAAATCATATGCCAAATCAAACAATTAAAAGAAAATAAACTAAGTAATACGCTTTTTAGACTTTAGTTTATTTCATCTACATGTGTTAATTAAACTTAATTTATTACTATGCAAATCTTAATTTTTAAAAAATGCTTAACATTCAAATAGAATAATTTAACTATTCTTTTTAATAATTAAATCATCGACAAATCAGTTGTTGGGGAAACTCTTTAGGATACATATAATAATGTTCATAAGTTATATTCAATCGCCACCAGATAAAAAGTAGTCCGATGTTCTACTTTGACTACATTTTCAAATGAGGTGATGAAACCAAGTCGGCTTCACGAACAAATAACAATATCCTAAATTAATTTATGAATATTCATGAACAATGACAAACCATCTACTATTCAAACAATATACATTTTTTAAAAGGCAAAGCAGAATATGTTTTAGTAGCCAATGGGAAATTGCATAGCTTTTTTTTTTTTTTTCCAAAAACATACAAACAAACAAAAAAAACCTTTTTTTTTCGGTTAAATATAATACATTTTATTAAAACAACAGAAAAAGGAGAAAAAAAACAACAACTTTTTTCAAAATTTAGTAGCACTTAAAGATGAAACTTACAAGTTTCATTTTTTTTGTCAAATCCAAAAAGAGGGGGGGGGGGGGGGGTCAAATTTAAAAAAAAAAACAACATTCAGAATAAATATAACAGTAATTAATATCAAATGTTTCTGATTATGATTGTTGATCTAGTTAGGACTAAGCCAAACTAAGTGCGATACTGAACATCGTTTTTTTAATATGGGATGTCATTAATGATGGTGTTTAAATATTAAATAAAACTAAAATTAAAATTGCTAGAAACTTTATCTGTGACTCAAAAACCTTTTTTTTTTTTTTTGGCATATTAATGAAATATTATTTAAAAATGGTGTAGTTATGTAGCGTATTGTGACATTTGAGGCACCTTCAGTGGTTGGACGCTACAAAGGCTACATAATTAATATAGAATAATGAAAATCCAGATCTATTCACTATTCACATTGTGAGCTATATGATACACAGGCAACATCTTGTTAAAATTTTAGCCCACAAATTCATTCCTATTTGAATCTAATTATAACAAGGTTACAAAAACAGTTTGTGTGGAAACACAAAACTCAAAATCGGCCCCCGAAGTGGTCCACCTAGAGACAGATGGATAGATCTAGACACTGGTAGAGGATAGAACATATTAGGCTGTAAAAAAATACTTTAAAAAGTCATCAAAAAAAATGCATATCTCTTTACGGGATGTGACTCACAAAAAAATAAATTTAGAAATATTTATTAACTAAAAAAACTTTAATCAATGTTTTAGCTGGGTTACGAACCCAGGACCTTCTGCGTGTTTGAGAGATGTGATAACCACTACACTACGCATACACGTATCGAAAAGAACAATATATTTGAAATCTTTCCTTATACTTTCAGTCCTTCTAAGTCTATATCTACTTAGTCTAGATCTAGAGTTAGATTTAAGACTCTAAGTCTACATCTAAGTCTAGATCTACATATAGAATATTGATATAGAATCTTGATATAGAATCTACCATATCTAGACTAGAATTAGTATATAGATCTATGTAGATCTGGCCTCTATTTATTGTAATTAAGATTCAGATTGTTGTCAAACGTATAGCCTAATGAGGATGTGTGAAAACTGCGCGGTAAAAAGTAGTTTCCTTTTTTTTTAACTTACAGTATCATCATTGTATCTGTGTGTCACATTTAATGGCATTCTCCTCTTAGAAAGTGGATAGAGTTGGAAACATGTCACTATTATTTTCGTCCATTTTTTTTTCTGCCAAAAGCTGAAGTTTCGCTTGGAACTATCGGAAATTCAGACAAATAAGTCATATTGCATTTCATCTTTGCAATAATGTTTTAATTTATTTATAATAAATCTTGTGACATTGTCAATACTATTATTTTTCAATGAATCAATCAATGATTTCCGATGGCTTTTGGTGTCTCATTTTGTACCAAAATATGAAACGTTTCCAAACAACATCCTAGCAATGACATCTCAAATATATCAGAAGAAATGTAATGTTTGTCCAAATATTCACCAACTTTATCCTTTATCAGTAGTCAATTCAACAGGTTTGCAAAAGAGAAACTCGTCTTGAAAACGTCATCATATATATTCCTAATTTTACTTCTAAAGTACTGGCTATCTTTGTTAGCAAAGCTGTGATGCGTGCTATCAGATAGCATTACAATTATTTCGACTTCATTGATTTGACTTACAGAACTTCATTACTAATAACGCTCTAAAATTTTCGATCGGTGATAAGTGATCTATAACATATGCCCAACTGGTGTCCACGAATTTTAGGTTTTCTAAGAAATGCGACGCCATTTTGTACGTGCAAGGTCTTTGCTTTCTCTCTTTTCGGCTTCCATTTTTTTTTTTGCTGACCTTGTAAGACTTGTTTCGTTTTATTTTAGAAACGTTAGAAAGTAGTTCTCATTTAGTTGGAAAGAATTAAAAATGTTTAAACTCATTCGGATTCAATTGTCTGCAACATTATTCTCGAACTGAAAAAAAAGCAACTACCGATAGAAAAACATTATACAATGTCACCTTTTACACTTTAGAATAGAGAACAATATCATATTTTTGATGGACTTAGGCGACCCCTGAAAAATCGTCATTCGATCCCACAAGGGGGTCGCAACACAAAGGTTTAGCACCCCTGTTGTAATGTGCGGGATAACATAGATGTCAGCGACTCACCAGTGAAATATATTGTTAACGTGAGATTTTTTAGGTTGCCAACTAATAGCATAGATTGTTATTTTGCAAAAATCTCCCTATTGTTGCTCCTTTAAAATTGTTACAATTTTCGTTTTTAAAAAATAAATAATAAAATTAATTAATTAAACTAGCGATGCATGTCATCAATGTTTCAACTAGTACAATACACTAGGTAGATGAACCCGTATGCTATTTATATACACCCATCTTCCTATTGCACTGATTGATGGTTTACGTTTAGGTTACCAAGCGAATGAATTATTTATAATACAATGTCAGTTTTTTGGTGTGTTTTTTTTTTTTATTGGCTTTGCGTTACATTTGATGCATGCAGGTGAGGTTTATCTTTTTAAATTATTTGACTTGTAGATCTATATTTTACACTAAAGAATAAAAAAAAATAACTATCATTTGTTTTAATATCTTGTACGACTTTTAAAGCGCCCTTCCCAAGCCACTTTAAGAGAAACACACACACACATAAACGTCCACTTTGTCAACGTAATCTATTTCTCTTAACAAAGTCTCTTATTTAACACATCCACTATTTAGAGAGTTATTTTAATATAGAGGAAGGCTTCCTGGTCGGGTTCGATAAGAATAATCACTACGGTGGTCCAGAGTTCGAACCCTGCCCGCCACTACATTTACCTCTTGCCGGAGGTCTGGGAAAGGATGTAGATTTACTTCCTGCTGGAGGTATGGATAAGGATGTAGAATTATGTCCTGCCGGAGGTCTTGGCTACGATGTAGATTTATGTCCAGCCGGACGTCTGGGATAGGGTGTAGATTTATGTCCAGCCGGACGTCTGGGCTAGGGTGTAGATTTATGTACTTCAGGAGGTCTAGGTCAGGGATAGGATGTAGATTTACGTCCGCAGGAAGTCTGAGCTGGGAGGCAGATTTATGTCCCGATTGAGGTACGGGCTAGGATGTAGATTTTGTCCCGAATGAGGTACTGGCTAGGATACAGATTTATGTCGCGAATGAGGTACGGGCTAGGATGTAGATTTATGTCCCGCAGGAAGTCTGAGTAGGATACAGATTTATGTCCCGAATGAGGTACGGGGTAGGATGTAGATTTATGTCCCGAATGAGTTACGGACTAGGATGTAGATTTATGTCCCGAATGAGGTACGGACTAGGATGTAGATTTATGTCCCGCAGGAAGTTTGAGCTAGGATGTAGATTTATGTCCCGAATGAGGTACGGGCTAGGATGTAGATTTATGTCCCGAATGAGTTACGGACTAGGATGTAGATTTAAGTCACGCAGCAGGTCTGGGCTAGAAACTTATAATCCTCATTTGTAATGGAATGTCCGCAACGTATTAAACAACTGATAAAACAGTGGAAAGAGAAGATGTGTGTCAATTGGTCAAGTGTCTTGTGAAATGAAAGTTATTAAGTTCGAATCATGATAAAAATTGGGACTTTAAGTATCGGGGCTTAACTACGCCCCAGAGTCTCTCTAATTGCTAACTGACCTTAGTAGGGTAACGTCAAGGAAGGCTGGTTCACATCATACACTGACCGTTGACCGTAGATAATCTTTGCATTATCTTCTCGAAAGATCTCAAGGTCTGAAAAAAAAAGGGGGAGGGACTTTTCTATTTACTTTTTATCAATAAAAAGTCTGGCTATTTATGACCGAAAAAGCTCCGATGGACTAAATGATATACAGTTAACTACCATGTGACATCGTGCTAGCATCAGTAAAGTTTATCTTGTTGCCCGTGACATTGATTCACAGGTTGTTGCCGTCTCGTGTCTCAGTTCTGCTCGCTGTTGGCATAATCAATTGCCCGGCGACTTATTTAGAGCCGTCGATAAATTATTCATCTCTATGTGGCCTAAGGGTTAGTTGTCAACAGGGTTAGCTTAATGACACCAGCGGGCAGTGGTCGTTAGCTGTCTCAAACTTTGACCCTTACAGCTTTATTTTAGTGACAGGTTAAAACTGTGTTGACTGCCATATCAAGGGCCCCGAGTTCAAGTCCATGAAGGGAAAGGGGAATCTTTATTCCTTGTAGAAGAATCGACCTTCAACTTACTCCTGTAATAACCTGAGAAAGCGTGTTAATACGTGTTCGTTTCCTGGCGAAACAATAGCTTCAGTTTTTAAGGCCTTCGCATTATATTCCCGAGAGACGTATTAATTTAAGCCACTTGAAAAAAAAGCCTATGTAATATTTATACAATTTCATTGAATCCCTATTTGGAACCCAGTCCATTCACTAGGATCTTCTTAAAAATATATTCATTGCGCTTGTACAGTCTGTCTGTCTGTCTGTTCCTTTTTTTTATCTTTTCAGTCTGTGGTGATTCTAACAGAACTCCAGGACCTCTCGGTGTCAACTGGTGGAGATTAGTTGTCCCGGGACTTTATTAGGGAAAAAATTATCTCTAGACCAGACATACTGGAATGCATAATTAATCTTAGATTATATCTAGTCCTCTAAGTTCCTCATGAGCTCACTGCAATGCTGTGTGTCCTCAATATTGGGTTGACGACAAGTTAACATCTGGAAACCGGTACCGGTCTGTCAACTTGCGGAGTTTTCTCTACTATTGATTTGGGAAAGCTGTCATAGTAATAGAGTTAAGCCTGTATACAATGGCGTGGGATTTATGACTGAGTGATGTACACGAACAATTGTTTGTGTTGATTAGCCCGCTTTGTGGTACATAACAACAGTTTCAGGAATTCAATCGCATCAACAAAAACATTTATATTTTTGGAACCTCTGGGCTTTCATAGGAAATAAGGACAGATTCTTCCTTAAGTGTTGTTGGCAAGGTGCTCTCTTTAGTACTAAATAACCATTTATATTTCTCGGAATCTTTGGGCTTTCATAGGAAATAAGGACAGATCCTTCCTTATGTGTTGTTGGCAAGGTACTCTCTTCAGTACTGAATAACCATTTATATTTCTCGGAATCTTTGGGCTTTCATAGGAAATAAGGACAGATCCTTCCGAAAGAATCCCAATAACTTCGTTCGTCTACAGCGCAGGACAATGGACAACCCAGTGATCGTCAGTTTTGGACAGTTTATGAACAATTTTAACGTGAACTGTTGTGTAAACCGTAAACTTATGTTAGTGTCTTATGAGTTTTTGGCAATGTAATCTCTTCAGTACTAAATTAACATTTTAAAAAAGTTAGTATTAGTATGTATTTCTATGACTGGCGTAAAGAACTAGGCCACGATTTTTTTTTGCTGGGTCTGCCTGAATTAAATCTGAAAAAAAAAAAAAATACAAGGATGCTAAAAAGCCAATGTCATGATATAACAATTCTGGTGCATCGGCTAGTTTTTATTTTCATCTTAATTTTCAAAAATTAAATACGCAAAGAAGTTTTTAAAATATAAATACACCAATTTTTTAACTATTAAGACCAAAAAAAATGGAGACTCTTTTAATAAAGATTTTATTTACTTATTCGTATGATATTTAATAAAACGATTCTGTAAGTCAATAATTTTTAGACATCTAGATCATCTCATTTGCTCCTTAGTATTGTATTGTTTAGTCTATGCTCCTTCCGTTAGGTTTTGAAGGAGAGATTGACCCTTGATAAAACCATACATTGAATTATTAGATGGACATTAGAAC